ATTCCTACGGATTGCTCATCACTCAAGAACAAACCTAAGCTGTTCTTCATCCAGGTTAAAATATTGTTAATCTTCCTGAAGTAACCTCTGTGTGAACTTATGAAACCCATAGAGATTGTATGGTCTGCTTCACTTCAGGCATGCCGGGGTTCAAAGGACGACATTCCTTGTAGCGTCGCTAAGAGAACTGACCACGACTTGGAGGATGCGATTCCTCATCAAGCGGATCTCCTTATATCTCAATCTACTGTTGAAGGTTCGTACTATTGAAACGCAAGACTTTCAAAAAGAGCAAGGCAGCTCTGTGGTTCTCTTCTGATCCGGGCATGGGTAGGGGTTGTGAGGGATGATAGCAAGAAAACCGAGGGTAGCCCGGATGAGGTAATCATAAGACATTTGCATCGCCAGTGTATCTTTAGAAGCCTACGGTAGTGACGTCATAGGACTAGCATGGATGACTAGGAACCACAACGTATGCCAGAATTCAAGTCTAAAGAATCTCTACAAATTATTTCATGAACTTTCAATTGGGTTGAATTCATGTAATTATTTTCAGAGCACAAATCCTGGCTGAATCATCACAAGGGTTCATGGTATATCCAGACCTTGTGCGACGTTCTTGAGGAGCATAAGGATCAGGACTTGCTGCATGTGCTGACGATTGTGGGAAACCGGGTGGCTGCAAATTTCGAGGCGAACAACGAAAAAGGACAAACAGTGAAACAAATGCCATCTTTTACTTCCACCCTCAGGAAGCTATTCTACTTTCCCACTTCTTAGAATCCCTTCCAGGACGCAATGTACCAAGTCTTCCCGATTCCGTACAAATGACATAACCCTTTTTTTCTAAATAATGTGATGGATGAGGATGGCATCGAGGGGCACGACCGAATGTCCCGGGATCGGAGGTGTAATGGTAGCACATCTGATCGGCAATCAGGAGGCCTGGGTTCAAGTCCCTGCCTTCCCTGGCTTTCTTTCGTCCTCTCATGCCGTCCGTCTCCAATTCCCCCTTCGTAACAAGGACGTAATTCCTTGAGAACGCCGTGAGTGTTGTTTATTCGAAGTTTTGCATGGATATTCATCACATGTTCGTTGTTATCACTCAAATCGGTTGATTGTTCCTGATTTGATCTCCGCGTTGTATTATTGGCCAGTTTCATACCGAGTATAAATTTGTCTTTAATTCTCACTGCATTTTATTGCAATGAGAATTAAAGACAAATTAAAAACAAGTGCTTAAGGATAGCAATCAGTGAAAGGCGACAGAGAGCTTGGTCTTGGCTTATTTTGCTTAGATTCAATCCATAGGGTGGGCAAAAAAATGAAGCTATCATTTTTGGTAAGTTGTCACTCTGTATGATGTCGATTTTGATTAAATTTCGTATATGCATAGGGTGACTCTATTAGGTGTGTGTCAAGTTTCAAATAAAAATTTCAAAAACTATGAGATTGGCATTTAATTTACTTTTCATGACCAAAAAAGTGTTTATTTTTTCTTTCAGCTTAAAAATTCCCACAAATGACAAAAACAAACAGAACAAAAACAGATGCACAAATGCCAAACACGAAAGCACACAATTTGGTTTAGGGACGTACATTTCAACTGAAAAGGTGC